TCCTCTCCAGCCTGCCATAACATGTCACTGATTGCTTTGATCAATGCGTCGCAACGTTGCTGTTCGAATGGTTTTAGCTTTTCTGTTTGGGAGGGTTGGCCGCTGATATAAAAAAAAAACAGACATGAAAATAGTGAGTTTCAATCAATTAACCAATAGAATTATAGGTTTAACAGCATTTGCAGGCTAGGCAGCAGTAATGAAAATCAATCATACATTTAATATTATATCAATTATGATACAATACAAAAAAAAAACCTTTGTACAGGTAACCATTTGTTTAATGAATAATTAAGTAAATAATTTTTGCTGTCATTGATTCTTGATCTTGTTAAAATCTTTTTTTGGCTTCCATTTTTATTTTAATATTATATTCATCGAGTGTTGACTGTATTTGTTTATTTTTTAACTTTAAAAAGTTATACTGTATTTTATCATATTTCTATTTTTACTTGCAATACTTATATGTGTGTTTTTGTCGTTTTTGTTTTTTTGGGGTTTTTTTTTAAGGGAAGCCTCTCAATGGTAATTCAGTTTACATGTTAGGTTCCTCAGGCTTGTGTTTCTGTTTTTCTGCATTTTATTACCTGGAAATAATAAATGAAATGAATAAGTGAAATAGCGTCGTCTTCGTCGTCACGGTCACGATCATTGTCATCGTTATCGTTATTATATTCAATAATGATTTGACTATAATCTTATTTCCAATTGTTATTATCTTACGTACCTTGCTGTCACACCCACGGTTTGTACTTGAGGTTCATCCAAAAATAACAGATTCTTCATTATATAGGCTTGTACACATATTATTACATTCCGTGTTGAGTCCTAAAAAAGAAATTAGTACATAATTATATAAAAGGTTTTAAAGGCGATGACCAAACTATTTACAGTTAAAACATAAACAAATATTAACAGTGGATGTACACTAGAAGTTGGGACAACAACAAAGATAATAATTAGGTATTAAAATCAGTTATTGTATAATAATAGCCCTGTATTATAGTTTACAAAAACGGTTGTATTTACCGAACTTTTAATATAATTATGCAAAGTGGTAGATCATGAAAATTTTGGATCACTTACATACATACCATCATCTCTTGACAATATTCTATGTTTCAAAAAGGCCAAATAAAAAAGAAATGATCAACTAGACGCTGCTGTTCTAATTAAATTACAATTATGAAAATTTGGAGATACGGTTTTAATAATATAAATTTTTAATGTTTGACAAAATGAGTGGAAATAACGAACACAGAACTGCAAGGAAACAAATGTGATAGAGGAGAGCATCCCCATTTTAGACATAATTTTACTTTGTAACACATAGATCCATAGGATGTCTACGAATAAAAAATATCAGCGGAAATCATTGTGCCACCATAAAATTGTATCTGAATGTACAAACCTCCGTGGTCCACAGACCATAGGGAAATGCTGAGTCAATGGCCTGGAATTGGAAACTATCTTGTTTCCACTCTGGACTGAATGACCATAAACGGTTTCCAAACAGGCAATCTCGTAGTTTCTATGGAAAACGAAGTTTCTCATTTGGTTGAACTTTGTGAGGAAATTGAGTATCAACAGTTTTGAAAAATATTCAAGAAATATTATTTAAAATTATTATTAATAATAGTTAATGATCATGCCTAGTTCTCCACTAAATAATATAATAATAGCAATAAATTATAATCAATTATTAACGGCTACACAACTGTATTATGTCAGGTGTCTTTGCACAAACATTTTGATATACTCCCTCATAGAAATAAGAGGGACTGGCAGAGTAAGTAATCCATCAGCAGTGTAAATAGGTGACTGAAATAGTAATAATATTACTATTAACTACCCATGTGCTATACACCATATTTACGGTGTATATTAACTGAATTGGCATGGGCCAGTTGTGTGTATAATACCGATATACTTTAAAAGGCCATCACTGTATACATTTTAAATTAACATTAAATAGAATCCTTTATATTTGTCTTTCAAGCTCACAGCACCAGGTGATATTATATTTGTGGACGGAAATTGAAAGATGGCATGGTGTTTATACAGCCTAAAGGAAGACAGTTAAATAATAAGTACAATGGGCTATTTTAGGGTAATCTGTAGTGTTCTAATTCAGCCTTTGTAAGTTATCGTCTCAATAATTTATCAGGTGTAGAGACATTTAATTGTATACGGTATAAAACTAAGAAGGGTGTCTTAGAATATTTAATGTAAATCTGTATATAAGATGCCATCATCGTCGTACCAATTAGTTAATTTCGATCTTTCTGTGCTATTATTAATTTAAACCTAGTTTAATTATACAACGTAAATTAACATCTTTCTAAAAACTGTTAATAGCCTAGTATAACACTGTTTTCGTTCAATTTTCAATTACCTAACACTAAAATGTTCTATATACACTCTCAGAAATAATGGTTCTTCAGAGGTTCTTGGCTGTCTTGTATATGGAAGCTTCGGTTTAAAAAGGTTCTACTGTATGTTTCGAAGGGTTCTGTAAATAGTTCTAAAAGCATTTTAACGAACCCAAAATGGTTCGAAGGACCCTTTAGCGAATCTATTTTTCTTCTTTTTCGAACCTATAAAGGTGCTACAGAGGTTCCATATACAGGACAACTGAAGAACCCCTAAAGCACCCCTTTTTTGTGTACAATGCTTATCTTTTTGAAGTTTAATTCGTAAATAACTGAAAATTAACTGCCATATGGAGTAAGCACTTCGTTCTGCTTATCCTTACATGTTGTTATAACGTAAATAATCCACATGAACATTATTATTATTATTATTATTATTATTATTACATGCACATCATTATGCAATAATATCTTAAGATGTTAAAAAATAGTATAATAATAAGTATGATATTGAAGTTTATATGTTCTTTGCGATCTGAATTGCTCATGGAGTATTTTGTAATTTTGTAACGTGTAAACAATATGCATTCCCATATCAATTCCATATGTAGTTCTTCAAATCTTGCTCTTCGGAAGATTATTCAAATTAGGAAATACCTTGACGAACCAACTACTCTGAAATTAGTTTAGGTCCATGGTTTACACGTTCATCACGAATTGATTATTGTAACAGCCTACTTGGTGTTTTTAAATTTCAACTTTCAAAACTACGCGCATACAAAATAGTGCTGTACGACTCATCACTCTACAAAGATGCAACTCTCATATTACTCCAACTTTACATGATCTCCATTGGCTTCCCGTTCAACAACGTATTGTATTTAAGATTCTTCTCATTACATATAAGGCTGTTCATTGTTTTGCACCTGGTTACTTGGCTGACTTCATTGAATATTACACTCCACCACGTACCCTCCGTTCTTCTGATAAACACCGTCTCCACACACCTAAAACCGTCACTAAAACTTATGGTGGAAGATCTTTACAATTGTTGCTTTGGAACAAACTTCCAGATCATATAAAAAATGCTGACTCTGTTGAATCATTTAAAACGTTTTAAACACTCACTTTTTTCGACTGTTTAATTTTTGCAAGATGTTTATTGTGGTTTTCAGGTGTGGTCTCACCTTTTCCTTACTCAAGGTATCGTTGCTGTCTCGGCAGCGTACGGTAGTGGGGCCACAGGCTTATCCTGTAGTGGAAAGTGTCGGAGCCCAGTATGCTGCCTTCTTGTGGATTACCTGCGTGTAAATTGCCTCACTGAATCAGCGACGTTACTTTGACATCGGTGGGTAAGACCACTTAAATGTCATCATCTCCTGCATCGCTGCTTTTTTAATTTTAACTTTTTTTTTTATTGTTTTTTGTTTATTATGTTGTTGTTAAGCGCCTAGAGGTTATTAACATTAGGCGCTATATAAATATTGATTATTATTATATTATTATTAAACGAATATATTTTGCAACTGTAGGCTTGAATGACTATAGTGGTCAGGCGCAAGATTCATAGCCGCAGGTTTTACATCAATCCTCACTCAGGTTGTAGTTGATCAAACCCAAGTCTTCTCAGGATTTAATGGTAGATCAAATGTACACAATTGGTTTATAGCTCGGAACAAAGAACAAAATTATACCGACATTTTCTACTTAGATCAAAGAATGCGTTCTAATTATTTTATTTTCCAGAATTCGCTCATCTTTTAACTTTAAATTTTTTTTATCTTTCATGTCAAAGATAATTACTAGACTTACAAATGCCATGTCTCTAGACATTTAGATGGCACTTTACAAATAACATTTTGCGTTTTGTTTTTGTTCTTTCTCGTTTTTCCTTTTTTAAATGTTTTAGTTCTCAAAGGCCTAATATTGAATAAGAAGCCTCCTTCATTACTATGTTCAACGCTTATTGAACTAACAAAATATTGATATACGGTACCAGCAAAAAGTATATAGATAGGACAATTAATCATTCCTTTTTATAAATGACATTTTTATAAAAATGTTAGATTGCACATTATATGTAAATTAATAATTTACTTTCTACCTAAATAGATATAAACCCGTGTATTTCATTACATGACCCAGCTAATAATTGTACTAGTACATTATAATAACGTTTCAATTTGGTTTTCAAAACTTTTATTTTTGATTTTTTGTTTTTGTTTTTGTTTTTTATTTATTTTTTTTTTTTTGTAGAACAATAACACGTTCGTTCGTTCACGTAATTTCAGTTCAGACTCTATATAGGCTAATTCTGCTGCAATGTTGTCCTAACGTCATTCTTACTTACCGGTAACCTAATCACCGTGACAACGTTCACAACGTATCCGAATGTTAATGTTATATTAACGTTTTGTGTTTTCTGGGTTAAGCATCAATTCAATCAGCAAGATATACAATAAAAACAATTATCAGGCCTAATTCAGAAAATGTTTCGCGACAATAATAATGACGCCAATAATTATTGTAAATGCTTCAACTTACTGCTGCAGTTTCAAAGCAGACAGGCTGCGGAGTAATGTTGATTTGGACGGGTTTGTACATGCTTGGAATGACAGTCCTAGGCCCAATTTGAAGATCAACTGAAAGTAAATAAAACGAGAACCAAAAACTTTAAAATGTATATATCGAGCCAACATTTGTTTATTTATTTACTTTGCAATATTTTGTAAGAGTGTTGTAATTCAGCCGACCGAAAACGGTTTAATTTTAACCCAAATACATAGGCCTACATAATATTTTGTAAATACAATATGAAATCCTATGATGTTAATTACACACTAACAAGTTGGAACAATAGAAACGATAATATTCAATAAAACAAAGATTATTTACATTATTAGACGAAACATATAATGATAATAATTATAATTATTGTTTAAAAAATGTAATTTCATTAGATTAGGATTAAGCTACATAAACTACACAGGCAGCAAGCGGGACACTTTAAGGCGCAGCCCACAAATGGAGTTGTGAGACTTTCCTTTCTTTCGTAGGAGTTGTCAATTAGAAAAACTGCCTTGGGTAATGAATAGCACTCCTTTCTTACAACACTAGGTTATTTTTATTATTCATGGTTTTTTATGAAGTCAGTCAACGTTAACTGCACCATGAGCATATCGTAATACATACTGGCACATTATATATGCACATTAATTGGTCTATATCATTATCTATTATTGATATTATTTTCTAATTAGTAGTGCAAATTGTAACTAGTTGGTGTAAGTACAAACACAATCTCTCCCTACCTTTAGTAGGATGTGTAAACGGATTGTAAACTCCATCCTCATCTGATAATTCTTCCTCGTTGTCTTCTTTCTGAAAGACAATTGCACTGTCAATTTTAAGCCTAAGAGGGGTAGAGGTGCACATCGTTCACTGAAGCGCACAGCATGAAAATGTATAATAGCATAAAATAAGCTCGCAAACGGAACGGTCGTCTTCAACAGATGCTCGTGTCGTTTTCACGATAACCTGTGCCAGAATGTTTATGTTATTACAATTGATGAAATCGACATTAGAAGGAAATTAGGTACATGTGCCTCTATTGTTAACTTTGAAGGTACCTTGGGCAACATCTAGCATCTAGGTCATAGGTTCAGCATGCGCAATAGTTAACTAAACATATTAACATTGTGCAATGATCTTGAATCTGATGTAGAAATTTTAATTATTTGCACTCAGATAATGAAACACGAAATGACCAAAGAGATCCCGGGGCAACAGTGTAATTTCTTCTGTTCCTGTGTTTCTATTTGCAGTTCATTCATACGTCAATATAGCATTGGGAAATGAATTTCACATTTCCAAAGCACATGCGCATTAGATATTCTCCACTACAAAGCATGTGTTTGCATTTTTTTTTTCTTTTATTGTAAATTTATTCAACAATAAAGTAAACATTCAACATTCTATATAATTATTCGTCAATCATACGTGATTAAAAACATTATGAATGTAAATAAACCATAAGTTCTAACATAAGATAACTGTATAGGCATGTAGCGATCATACCAATCACGAATGTTTTTTAATAATTTTCATTAATGCTGATAAATTATCTATTTTTTTTTTCATTTTCGAAGTTATTGGTTATCTCTTGTTGCACCAGTGTGGCTGCAGTATAACCCACATAATTAAATTTTAAATTCCTAACACCCTACTTTTATTTGAAGACAAACCAAAAGAAAAAAAAATCAGGCAGCATAGACGCGGACAAATCTAACAATAACGTGATGCCCTGAAGGATGGATTTAACCGGTGTAAACACCAAGGATAACCCACGAAAGTCTAAAGAAGACATATTTCCAGTGGGGACGTCCTTCTGGTAGTGATTAGGCAGTACTCCGGGAAAATAGGTTATTTAACGTAGACAGTGGGGTCATAATGCACACGGAATCAACCGCTTAAACGTCTCAAGCTATTGTAACTTGCACAGCCTCAAGCTAAAACACAAGGAGAGCTGCGATTGTTATTTAACCGGGGACCTGAGATCTCCACGTTCAGTACACACACAGTAGCTACCATCTTCAGTTTAGCCGACTGAGCTATAGCTGCTTTCTGTATCTCAGAACTTATATCTTAAAACGTAATGGTCAGATTATACATGCTTCAATATGGGAATTGATAGTAGGGCCTTATGTAGAGTACTTGTACTGCATGCAATCACAGGCCTTTTCATTCCACTGCATTCATTACTAAATTGGAAAAATTTTAACGGCTCATCAAAATAGGTCATGTTTTCTATAACAGCAATCAATATCACTGTGCAACTGATGCTGTACCATTATTTATGGCCGGAAACAACCGTGCTGTAATTAATTCCTGCTGCAGTCAAGATTGCTAATGCTGCGCTAATTAAATTCATAAAGTTTCTTCGATTAAATACAAGTAACTGAGGATTAACTATTATAATAGCAATTAGACAAAATCAATGAAAACCTTGCGAACGCAGTTGTATATTCAGTTTATTCTATTATTACAAATTGCCAATATTTACGCACTCCTACCGCCAATAATTTCACTCTTCGAGATGAATTATCTCGATATATAAACCCATGCTCCATTAGTAATTGCATTAGTTAAACCTAAAATGCTACAAAACAATAGTTTGTTCTTATGTTTAGGCAAATTCTGTGCTTCAATATAGGCAGGGTTTGGTTAGTATTTCAATCAAGATATTTTGAAACAAGTAGGCCTAGAGTATGCAGATTTAAAATTAAACTAGTATCTTTTAGTGTTGCGATACATCGTTGCAGCAATTTAAAAATAGTGTGGGGATCGGAATGTTGTATGAGTTTATTACATTGTGTTCAATTTCCGTGTTTTTTCGTTTATATATATTTTTTTTTTAAAAGACACGCTATCATTAAGAAAGCTCCATCGAATTGAAGATAATCGTGCAATTTCGGTTATCAATATTTTAACCATTTTGTTAATAACGTGCTTGCCTGGCGATAAATTATCTTTCTTTCATTTGATCTGAAGGCTTAGTGTGACAAAAAATCAATTACAGTACTAAGTTCAGAGACATCGCATAACAGTCATTTTATTATTACTTGCTTGCTATCGATTGTACGGTATTAGCCCGAGAGGTTGAATGTAGATTACATATTTAAAACTTGCAACCACCTGCCTTGATTGTTTACTATAATTTGTCATGAAGTGCCAACATTTTCTAATCGTATTTTAGAATCTGCAGGAGATAATTTAATCGTTAATAAATGCCTATATAATTAGGCCTAATTATACATCATGAGATTAAACTGTGAACATTTGCACCAAGACAAGGTGAAACTGAATGCCAAATTAGTTATTTCGCAGACGGTAAATGCAGTGTCTCTTCAACCTATTATTATTAAAACAAAATTACGTAGATACCGTACCTATAAGCGGGGGTGACTTACATGTAGCTACCATGAAGCGCCTCTTTAAGGCTGGTAAATAGTCACGGACCATATACCGTACGCAATTCAGCACAAATATTCGGTAGGCTGGTACATGTAGGTTATACCATCACGTTAACGTACGCCAAGTAACACGTACGCCAAGGTATTAATGTTGCTAATACAGCATATCTACGTGCAGCTTGTAAGTGACATAAAAAACAAACACTATCAGAGTGCACCCAGTGGCTAAGAAAAATCAATTTATAAACTCGCTTTATCACTATTACTAAGCCATCATAAGCCGTTAAAAATATACACTGTAAGGATAGTCTGTGTGTGATATATTTTAAGCATGCAATATAAACTAGTATCGAGTAGTTGTGCATGGTTTGCAATATAACGCAGGCGACACAACTAATATAAGAAAACAACCAATCGTGTAGACCTAAATTTTATGTACACTGCATAGAACCTATATTCTAAAGTTTCCACCACACGAGTAAAGCCCTGAGCCTGCAGCGTTGACGGACGATCAGCCACCGCCGACGAATTCGTCGGCGCTCTGTGTGACCGTCATTGTGGATCATCGTTGCAAACGGTCCGCCACTGGGATGGCACGACCCTTTATCGCCTCGGTTGCCGAGATATGATATGCCGACGTTGTGTGTGCGTGCGCGTATATCTTGGGTTTTCTCCCTTATAAAAATCCTCTTCTGTAGGTAACTGTGCAAACCACACATAATTTAATATTTAAAAACAGGCATCTTTGCAGTATTGAATGTGCCAACCTGACGAAATAGTTGTGCTAGCATACAAACTAATAACACCATTGGTGCAGTGTGAAATGTGCTGATTAATAAGGCCGACCAGACGTGACTTAGGCCTAACGCACAAATTAAATCAAAACCAACCGTACATTGCGCAAAGACCGTTGACCATCTTGTGGTTTGAATTTCTGTAAGTATCAAACAATTAGGCTTAAACTACATACGTGCTCATTTTCAGTATCATTTATAGTGTTAATGCCTAACCATTTCTTCTATAGTGTTTTATTTTCCTTCTTATTTTTTTGTTTTTGTTTTTGTTTTTTGCTTCTAATGTTGCTATTTGTGTTTTTACCGTTGTTGTTCTTGTTCTTTATGTTGTTGGCGTTCAAAATTAGTACAAAATACTGTGAGAAAATATCTTTTAATATCTGAATTATTTGTATTCTAAAATGAATCAATGATATTTAGATGTATGTGTGTGGGTGGGGGGATGGTGTGATTCGATATGATGTGATATAATAATGCGGTGTGATGTAGTATGAAATGATACGGTATATGATGTTATATGATATGTGATATGATAATTGTGATAAAAATACTATCAATTAAAAAAAACCCAATTTATTTAATAAGGTTCGAGAAATTATTTTAAACATATTGTATTAAGCAAAAACTTTTGGACTATTGTTAATATCCAGTGTTAAATGTGTTATTGTATATTTTTCTTCACATATTATTGCATATAATGATATTGTCGATTTTTTATGCGAAGACCAGCCATCGCTTTAAGTTATCGTGGCTATTAAGATCACATTTGTTAAATAAAATTAACTAAACTGATATATGAAATAATTAATACAATATGTGGAATTTTAATAATAATGTTTTACTTACAAATTTAGCATATAATCTTTTTTTTTTATTATTAGTAATTAGTAAAATTTGCAAGTAGAAAGTAGGCCTAATTTTTCCAAATAACATTATCTTGTATCGTGTACCTCTTGTATAAGACCTATTAATAATTTGTTGGTTTAGGAATAAGAACATCTTACTGGAACTGCTGCTGTTAATTCCAGGGTCCGTGCTAATCGTTCAAGAGGATCCATTGATTCAAATTCGTCATCATCTGAACCATCTTGAGATGTTTGAATACTCTTCAGGTTCAGCCGCTTGATACGATCCCTTAATGTGGCCATCTTGGATCTCAGTAAAGAATAAATGGTTAATCATGAACATCTCACCGCAAAGTCAATGTGATGATGATTAAGATGATAATATTCAAAACATGAATATTTCAACCCGTCCACGGGTCTTCTTCAGCATGTGTGTTTTGAATAATATTCACGTTTTGAATAAAATTTGTGTTCTAAGTCTACCAAGTCGTTGACATCTCATCGTCTTTTTCATTGAGTTATGTTATACCTGTCTCTTATACACATCTAGATGTGTATAAGAACATAGTGTTTTTGCAATTAACATTCAGGTCTTCTTTCAGTGTTTCACCACCAACACATCGCACAGTGCTTTGGAGGGTCGAACGTGGAAGAAAGCCACCTATTGCCATGGAAATAGAATGCTTACCATTTCCTAGGCATAGTTACTTCTGGTGCCTAGACGAACACCTGGCAGCGTGAGTTAACGGAAAGTATGCCTACCTCTGACAATATTATGTCTTCGGTTAAACATGGACAGGCACCAAATTACATTTTTGTAAGCTTACTTGTTGAATTCCACTTTAAATTCCAATCTAAACTCATTTGCTACAAGAATAATAAAACTTCTTTATGATTATATTATACATGTTAAACATAATAAAATATTAACTCACATTTTATAAGCTAAATATCCTGATTACCTGCTATTTAGTACCGTACCCATGTGAACCTTCAGCATACAGTAACCGTAACGATAGCAAGAATTAATATCCTAATTTCATATTGCTAAGATACCATAAATATATCGTAATCGATACAGGATTGTGTATTATTGTGAAAATAATGTAGCATTGAGTCGGAAGTTATTTGAAGAGCAAAATGTAAAGAAAAGGGGCCAAGAATCAGATCGATGGTAATTTATCAAAGACAAATAAGAAAACAAGTATTGAATTTAATTATTTTAATCATGATCAGCATACATTAGGAAAATAATAATCAGCATCTTGCTTTTAACGAAAACCTATTTGAAAATATACTAACCTCAGTCTGTGAAGAGCTGATAAACTTTACAATAAAACTTTGCGTAAAATTCATACACTTTGTATATTTAAGCAAGTAATTATTTTCAAATGAGAATTAGAATAAGGATAAAATTATTTATCGCCAAGTAAAAGATGCAGTATGTAAATATATATGTAAATCCTAATGGCTGGTAATCAATTTAAAGAATGTCTCTGATCTGCGAAAAACTAATTGTTTCGACACCGTGTCGGAATCCAAGATAATGAAGGAAGATTTAATATTTACCGGTAGTTTTGAATCATATAAACAGAAATCACAATCAAAAAGTAGGACTGCAGCGTTTTGTCAGTTCCGACAAGCGACTTGTGGAAATTACTCTCCATTGACGCATGTAATTAATGGGTTTTTTCGTGAAACCTTCAACAATAGTGAGATGTTATTATTATCCGGCAACTGAATACGGCATACGGCTCAATTTGTCACGATTGTTCAATTTGTGTTTAATATTATTGAGAAGGGAAAAATATTAAAGCGGGCACTACAGGTTAGCAACCAGAGTTGGTGGGTATGGGATCACATTGAGAACGCGTAGGCCACAGATCAACAACGTTTGTACACTTGGCTAAGAATGCGTAAACCGAACAACTAAATAGGACAACAGGACTACAATAAAGTAGGACTACAAGAGTTCAAATAAGAAATGCAGCTCTTTTTATTGATCTGGTTTCCATATTAAAGGAAGTGTTCACGCCACACGAAGGCTGATGGGTTATATTATTTGATTAAAATTCCCTGATTAAAGGATAGGCCCTGATGTTATTTGAAATAATGGAAAACTGAATAAAAAACAAACGTAAAATGCATGTCTAAGCCTACAGCTTGTAGATTATTCTGTGCAATGTCGAAATGCAGGCCTTATACAACATTAAAATCCCTCCTTCATTTTTTCTTCTTTTTTTTTCTTGTGCTTTCATATAGGATTCAAATGTATCGTTAACCCCACCCTGATTTCATTACTCCATTCATACTGCTGTTATTAACTTGAATCATAAAACAATATAGAAATTTTATTGTTTTAATTACATTTATTTTGATTTCATATCACTCCAAATTATTTTTAAATTAAATTTAGTTTATTTATATTGTCACTCGTTTTTATCTCAATAGAAATATAATTATAAAAAAGAAAACATTATGTCATCGTTGTATGAATGACAACAACCAGGGTTACTTATGGTCCGCAGGAGGCACCTCATAACCATTATCCTGCACCCCCCTCACTTAATCATCGACCCCACCCCACCTCATTGTCTCCCCTTCCCCATAACAAACCCCTTCCCATTTCACAAACCCCTTCCCATTTCAAGACTCCTGGATACGCCACTGTCAAAATCCCTAAGAGGACACTCTTTTGGTTCCGAATATAGGCCTATTCCCTAAACATGGAGTGTACTTGTATAATGTAGGGAACTCATCCTATTGCAAGTGAATCATATCTTATTGTAATTTTTCCACGACGATTCTTAATATTTTGAGTCTGTTGAAGAGATATTATTGTTGGTATTGTTGTAATGCGATCGATATGCATATCATATTATGAAATTGTATAATAGGCCTACTCACATTTATAAATAATAAGAAGGCTTTATTGAATAAATTAAGTTTTTTTTAAATTGAATTCGCTATTGGAAATTAATTAATAATTATAGCCTGCTTGTGTAGCACTAGTCACAATTCATTAATCAACATGCATAATTATTATTTACCATTAATGAAAAAAATTTTGGAGCACATTAGGCTAAACAATATCAATACATTTTTTGCAAGTTGCTAAAGTACTGGTCTATCCCTTTGAAAAGTGTCGCAGTGTAAACACACAAAAAAAAACGGTGTTCACCGTGTTGACTATCTTGACTACCGTAAAACCTCGAACAGAAGCCCAATGTGCCTAATCTCGAGAAGAGGCCCATCTCGAATTGAAGCAAACCTCTTTAGTTGACAAAAGTAGCCTCGAAAAGAAAGCCATGGGCTTCGTTTCAAGATAGCATGGGCCTTTTTTCGAGATGGTATACATGCACTGTACATGAATTTCAAAGCAACAAAATAAATTTAAAACACACTTGGTCTATACAGTACAGTAAAGGTGATTTAATGCCGGTTACACTCCACGATACAGATTGCTGTTACAGTGGCCTTTTTATTGTTTTATAGTAGAATTCCCAAAATTTACAGCGTTCATTTTGAAAAGCCCCACTCTTTACTTTGCAAAAGTAGCCTCAGAATGAAGCTCATCTCGAAAAGAAGCCCATCCAAAAAACAAAAAAAAAAAGCCCAGGGCTCCAATTTGAGATTTTAAGGTATATACGTATATAATTTTGTGAGATTTCTTGTTTCTAAATTAAATAGGCCCTAACTGTTAAAAACAATTTTTCTAATCTTCAACTTCTGAATTTTATTGTTTTAATATTTGATTAAGACTTGTATCCAAAATTGTGTTACCTTACATATATATGTATAACAAAATTCAATGTATTTTGTGTTTTAAGATTAAGCTTTTTATCATATTTTAAATTGTTTCCTTTTAATTTTATTAATATGTTTATATATTAACTTGTTTATATTTCATTTTGTAATTTTGTATCACAAGTCAGGACCATGTGTAGAATAGGTTGGCACACCCTCCCTATGTTATCCTGTTTAAATAAATATATAAATTTAAATGGAAATGTAATCCACTTCATGCAATCATTGGCTATTGTTGCTGCCCCAAATGTAATAAAAGCTTTTAATCCACGTATTAATGCAACTAAATAAGTCGCATAACAGTGTTGTCTAAATAGTCAGGCAATGTATTGTTATACTGTATTCATGAGGGGAAAATGTAAATAATAGTACGCCAACAGCGAAAGTATATTCGAGATTGTACATACTGTCAACCAGTAAAGAAAAGGGTTAACTGTATTTTATACAAATTTCTGTGTGACAGTTGACACCTCTACAGAACAAAAGCATTGCCAAAAAATGTCTTGACTGGCTGGCATGCTTTTCCTATGTATATTTTAAATTCCATATAAAACAATAAGATAAAAATACGGAAAAGGAGAAAGACCAAGGCACAGGTTGAGTGATGACATCATAAAACACATAATGGACAATAGAAGCATAGAATAGAAAACAAAGGAAATCTTTGGAGTAGGGATATGTTCTACCGCGGACTGCTAGATCATGAAAAAAGTAGCCTATAGCCCATTATTTTTCTATATACATCATCTTATATTATATTGTATCACTATTATCTTCAACATTAAAATTAAATAGGTTCTTTTGGAACATATTTAAAAGCAGAAAGTAAAGCAAATTACAGTTTTGAGTGGATATAATTTGAGAGAAGTGGTTATTCAATCATTGACAGTAATAATGTTTGTGGAAAAAACTAAATAACAAGAAAAATAAACATTTGTAAAAATTCAATCTTTATTACACAAAGCCAGACATTCAAAATGAAATGATAATTTCAATAAAGATGAAAAAATTACAATACAGTATAACTAAACAGACTTATAATGAATAAACATCACATTTATCAATAGTAGTGTATCAAAGTAGGTCTACTTTTTTAGATATTTTGAATAATGTTCCATTTTAACCTTTTTATATTCTTTTACATTAACATGTACTATCAGCATATCAAAATATTTTTAGTCATTTGAATCTGTTTGTGATAATATTGATGCATGGTTTTAAGCTGATAAAACTAACCTATGACACAATTATTCTCCTCCTAAAGAGACGTAAATGAACAAGTTATAATTACAGTGTTATTATCAGTCAAAAAGTAATAAATTAGTTCATGTTGATTTCATCCTTAAACAAATGTGATCGTAGTTTTCGCATTGTTTATCTGCCAGATGTTAAGTTCCTCGTAAGCTTCCAAAGCTTCTTCAAATTGATCTGGCGTGAAACCTTTAGCAAGACATGAAGCGCTGGCATCTGTGTACTTGATTCTCTTTGTCTTCTTCTCGGTTGCCATATCACGGAGAATGCCGAAGATGACGTCTTCTGACCTCTGCCTCCTGGTTAAAAACAATTGCAAAAAAAAAAAAAATGAGTGAATTATTTTCTGGAATTTTAAGTTGTCTGCTACAGCCATAAATATTTGAAACACAGGCTTCTCTTAATGTGGCTATTTTGCAAGATTTATCCTTTGATAATCCAGCAGCCTGATAAACACAGGCTTCTCTTAATGTGGCTATTTTGCAAGATTTATCCTTTGATAATCCAGCAGCCTGATAAACACATGCTTCTCTTAATGTGGCTCATTATTGTTTGAAGGCTTGGTGTATTGGTTATCAAATGCAAAGCAGAATTTTTATAAAAATAAGTTTTGAAGGTTTGCATGGCAAATTTACAATAATTAATTAATTAAAATGTTTGGTACATCATGTGGCATATGCTACAAATCTCAATATTTAACAACAACAACAATAATAATAATAATAATAATAATAATAATAATAATAATAATAATAATAATAAAACAATAACAACAATAACAATAATAATATAATAATAATTAAACAATAACAACAATAATAATAATAATAATAATAATTAAACAATAACAACAATAATAATAATAATATAATAATAATTAAACAATAACAACAATAATAATAATAATATAATAATAATTAAACAATAACAACAATAATAATAATAATATAATAATAATAATTAAACAATAACAACAATAATAATAATAATATAATAATAAACAATAACAACAACAATAATAATAATATAATAATAATTAAACAATAACAACAATAATAATAATTATATTATAATATTTAAACAATAACAACAATAATAATAATAATATAATAATAATAAAACAATAACAACAATAATAATAATAATATAATAATAATTAAACAATAACAACAATAATAATAATAATATAATAATAATTAAACAATAACAATAATATGTAAACTTATATACCACACAATCTGCCTCAAAAAAAAAAGTATGCTATTTCACAATAACATTTTAAAAGAAAGTTTTGAAAGCAATTTGCTTAGTTTACAAATACTTCCAGAATTGAATTGGTGTTGCTCTCTCTACTGATGGTATTTGGTTCTGAGAAGAACTGTTTGGATTGCAATGTCCCTATCATTGTAGGCACAAATAATACAAAAAACAAAGATACGTATTTGCAACATTGCACAAACTATGTCCACAAACATTTTAAAAAAAAGTCACAACAAAGTACCTTGCAGTTGTGTCCTGTTGACCAGTAAGAGAGTCCTTTGACATTTCCATCAATCGCATTGCTTCGTTAACATCTTCCTTCTCAACAACGTCAACTAATCGTAGTCTTGCCTATCATGAGAAAACAAAAAGGAATAATGAATATAGTGAAGGAAATTAAGGTATTGAAAGCAGTGTGAAGGGAATTATGAATAGTTATGGTTGGTAACAATGGTAACTGGGAAAAAAGAACTTCTGCTGTTAAAATAAAGGAAAAAAATTAATTCTTCTATGGAAAAAAAGAACAGTATATTTTATAAGCATCCACTTATAATTAGAAATCATATTACCACAGCCAAGGAGTGTATGTATTCAGGTAGGTATCCCACGAAATAGCCAATGCTATCTTTATCGTAATTTTTTTTTTAAATGGTCATATATACATCAACATGACATCTTTAATACATTTTCAATAAATTTCTGTTAAATTATTTTTAAATACAAACACATTTTAGAGCAAATATACTGCAAAGTAAATAAAGTGCTTTGATTTGTATTTAGCAAAAAATGCCACATTAGGTCATTGTATAAAATTTATGTAATAAACAATATTTTTGTACTGTACTATCTAACTTATAAAACCATTTTACATATTATTATCAAAGATATTACATACCAGAGCTGTGGCAAGTCGTAGTATTGCTAGTAGCGTTCTTGGGGATGTAAATGTTGTGTCTTTGCTGTTGCTTCGCGCTTCTTTCCTCATTTCAACATAGGCACCTGTAATGTATTCACTGAGAGCTTCTGGAATAACTGACTTCTTCTTCTTACACAATGCTATGTATCGCCTACAATTTAACAATTTCAATGACATAGTATTTGTAGCTTAACACATTAATACAGAAAGATACTGAGGGGTTCCGAAGTGGGTGGAAAAAGACCTGATTCAATTATTATTGAAAAATAGAAGATAAGACGATAGCAGAGTGGAGGGAACAGTAAAACTCCGTCAAAACTATCTCTGGTGGGGCAGGGAGGGGGAGGGGGATGTGTGTGTGTAGACGGTGTGATCGCATCTCCCTTAAGTTGTATTAAAATAATTGTTGTGTTGTACTGTCTATATATTATTTTTATCACTATGTACGAGAGTGCAATTTTCCAAGCACCTTGAAGTCCTAATTTTTAAAATTTTCGCATCTCAGCCCTAAGTACACCCAGCTAGTAATAAAGATCAATGGCAGCGAAGGGTTTGACTGTGAGTGAAACATATTTACAATACAACAAACACCATCGGTATAGTAGTAATAATTCAGGCCTATAAAACTTTACCTCATCAGACTCATATCCAGGGGAGTGAACTGCGAAGGTGGCTGCTGTTTGTGTTGATGTACATATGTAATATGCTGGGCTAGCCTAAAATTAAAAAAAACAAGAAAAATTTGATGAAGTATAACAATAGACCTTACAGTAATGTCAATCAAAAACATGTGTTGTCCCACAAAAAACACATGTTCATGTAGATTTATGTTATCGTTTTGTGAGATATTAGCAAAAATATTCATGGTGAGGGGCCGAGTGGAAAGGTCCTGCAAACTTGCAATATTTTAGTTTTCTATTTGTTTTGTGCAAAACTAATGAATGCAGTTACAAATGCTAAAAATGTGGAAACTACAGGCCTTAAAATAATTAACATTAGTATATAAATCAAATATATTTAATTACCTTATCAGAAAACATCAATAAATTAGATAATAAATAATAAATGTATTTTTAAATTTAAAAAATAAGTTTCAATTTTCTTAGTAGCACTCTCTAGGAAGCACCATTCTTTCCTAAATAAGATACTAAGCAAACAAGCCTATCACTCTAGACTAACCTCAGATCATTCTCTCGGTCTGGTTTATCTTGAATAAGCCACAAAAGGTCAAACCTTGAGAGCAATGCAGCGGGCAGCTGAATGTTGTGTTCGATGGACTTCTTTGGATTGTAGCGGCCGTAGGCGGGATTAGCAGCTGCTAAAATTGACACGCGAGCATTTAGAGACGTCATGATGCCAGCCTATAAATGAATGGGTGTATTTGTGACAATGATAGATGACAAGGAAATAATAAAGTTTAATTCTCAGTAATAAAAAATGGTGTTTGTTTACATAGACTTCCATAATCTGAGAGGACATATTATTAAACACTCTGTCATATTCTGAGTGCAGGTATTTAGTGTGTCCGGTTACTTTTGAAACTATATTTTAGCATGTTCTCCCGAACCCTTCTTTCAATAAATGATCATCATTCCAGTATATGCCTAGGCTATGCCTGTATGTGTCCTTGTTTCTTCAAGTTACTAAGCCCCACTCAAAAGGGGTAGCGCCTCACACTGCGTGCACAGCTGAATTTTTATGGACAAACCAGTATGGACAAACATCGCAGAGACATTAAATACTGGTCTAATGTTCCAGCAGGGAAGCATTTAGTACTTTCGCTACAATATATATTTTTTCCAAAGGAACATAAATTAGCAGGAAGGTGGTATATACATCCTTGGTTTAAGGCTATTCAAGTCTTTTGATTTTATTATAAGACAAAGCGTTGTTGTTGATGATTAATTACCTTTGCAATGGAAATAGTCTGTTGTTCCATGACTTCATGGATAGCTGTACGGTCTGCTTCCATCATCTTATCAAACTCATCAATGCAACACACACCCTGATCAGCCAAAACCAGTGCACCGCCCTCTAGAACCATCTCACCAGTGACAGAGTCCTTCATAATGGCTGCAGTAAGACCGACACCAGATGACCCCCGACCTGTCGTGTACTGGCCTGAAACAAGAATCCATAACATATTAGTTTAGTTGTAATTTTAACATAAGTAAATATTCTGGTATTTTTTTTGTTATGTTTTAATTGTGATAAGTAATACAAATCATCTTGTATTTTATTGTTTTATTTATTGAGCACAAATATGTAACTGAAATATATCCAAAGTTCTATATCATTACTTTTATAAAAATATTCATGATTTTTTAAACTCACTTCGTGGTGCCAGTCTATCGATGTATCCAAGCAGCTGACTCTTCGCAACACCAGGATCCCCCATCAAACAAATGTTTATATTTCCTGCAATAAAGAGTAATGAACTTCTAAATTCAATACATAAATAAACATATTGAATTATAAATTCAACACATAAACATAATTAAAGATTTCATGATCTTTGATTAAATCTTGGCTGATGAAGGCTTTCTTTTCCTGCACTAAACATCTTATCTCACCTCTGATCTTCATTCCTTGTGGTGATTGGTCAACACCACCAACTAGTAGCAACAACAAAGCTTTCTTTACATCCTCATGGCCGTAGATCTCTGGTGCAATGGATGAAGCTAATTTCTCATAAAAATCATCCTCTGCAAAATTGAAGGAAAAAATATTTATCAATGTTTGTGAAACTTCTAACCATGATATTATTTAAGAGTGCAGCATAGTTACAGACAGCTAAACTGCTGGTTGTCAATGTGTGCATGCTTTGGGTTGTAATGCAAATTATAATAGCATATGATCTATCAGAAAAAACTTTAACACTTTGGCTACCAACGACGAGTATATTCGCCCACAAGGTGTTGCTGAGGGCGCCGGGGACGATTATACTCGTCAAAATCGGGGTAACATTCTAGGGTTTATAACTTTGTTATACATTGTAGAACCACAGACTGAACGGCTAGTAGTTCGGGGAAGATACACCTAGACAATAACGTTCAAATGACATACATATTTTTGTTGAGTTATGTTGCCGGTAGTACACCTAAGCTGCACAAGTGGGGGCGCCCTTTGAACATATACCAACCCATGCAAAAAGCGGACGAGATAACTTACACTTGGCATAGTCAATAAAAAGTTCTATCACAGTGCCATCGACAAGTTTACTCATCCCCTAATATATTCCCGCCAATTTTGATGATATATGACTAGATAAAATTTCAAAAAAGTATGTTTGTAGATGCAAACTTGTTTTGGTACACTGGAAGGAATATTAATAAAAGGCCTGGCAGTCAATGTGTTAAACTGTTGGTAATATGTGCAATGTTGCTTATGTGCATGTTGAGGAACACAGTTCTCTACAGGAAAATAGTTTTCAGATTTTTATTATTTATCCCTAGTGTGTTTCATGACAAATGCAACCAACATACCAGCAATTTGAGCAATTTCATCTTCAGTTAGCTCAGGTGTATCATCTTCTCCTTCTGTTGTCTTGTTCAACTTTTCAATGCTCTACAAGTACGACAAAACATGCAAATATAAAAAGGAAGCAACACAAAATAACATTAAAATTCCAGGTTATTAGTGATATTCTGTCTCACGTTGCACTAAAAACAAGTCAATATTTGAAATGAATAAATACTTTAGTAAATTAGTATCTTTTAATTCAAAACTAAAATACAAATTTTTTGATCTATATAGATGCTGTTCCCAAATTTTTTCAGGCTCCTAAACTGGCTGGTAATCAATTTTAAGTTTTTGTTTTTTTATTAAATTTGTTTTGATCTTCAACTTATTGGAAGTTGATATATTAGTTGATCCTAGAAAATTACCAATTTCATTTTTTAAATTGATTTTTTATACAGTTACTTTAGGGATTTCACACAAGACAGTACACCTTTTAAAAAAATAAGGGATAAGAGTGCACAGGTCACAGTTGATTAACCATATCAAGGGTTTAAGCTGGCCAAAAAAACATATTTAGAAATTTGGCTAATTCAGCATGAAATTAATTAGCCAAATAGAAATTTGATTAACCCAAAAAAGAATATAAGCAATGACAGTTGTAATTCCTTTAGCTTATTGGCTTATTTGAATGAAAATATTTAGCAAAATACAGATTTTATTAGGGTTTGGCTATTTGGCTAATGACAGCTTAAATACTGAATATTAAAATTTAAGCTAAAATTTTCTTCGACAAGAAACTGTTCTACATATAGTCGTAATGTGATGTCATCATGGCCATAAATGTCACATCTCACATGTATTTTTCCAATAAATTGTTGATAGTCTGGAAAGGGTTTAGGCCAGGAAACATACGAGGGCAGAGGAACCGTTGCTCCATTTACCATCAGGCAGTGGTTAGAAGGTTACTAACTTAAAAGTGCTTTAGTAGGCTTAATCCTGGCAGCTATTCTAACACATACAAAAGGGGTGCAAGAAATTGTTAATTAAATACTCACATGGGCATCTATGTATGTCTCTGAGAGGAGACCTTGTGAAATCTGGCTGAATCCAACCTTTAGCATTGGCAAAAAGACCTACAAAAGTGGGCTAAGGAATATATTCATTCACATCAACTACATAATAGCAACAATAACAATATAGGAATTTATAAAAATAAATTTACGTAGGATATGAAATGCACTAAAAAAAAAAACTGCAGTAAGAGTGTATAAGAGTATAAGAAGAAAGAGTAACTTGATGATTTAACAAGAGAAATGTTGTTTAGAAACTAAAGACATCACTATCAAAATCAAAAGTACTGTATATGTGGCAGAGCCAAGCCAAAGGAGGGATAAGTTGCTAAGGCAGTTTTCAAATAAATGCACTAACGTGAAATCTCTCATTTTTTCGATTTTAAAAAATCTCTAAAACATACATATTAAACATTTAACTTTCATCCTACATTTACTTTTCTCTGACTTATAATCGATAAATGCTCTAAAAATGGTATTTGTCCTAGCGTATAGACATAAAATCTGATTTTCAAAGCCAGTTTTCTCAAAGTACACTTACCAAGTATCCTAACTTGGATTGCCCATAACTTCGCCATAAACTATCATATCGAAGTGATTTTTTTTTCATTTTGAAGATAGCAATGTCCAATTTCATATGTACAAAACTCAATTTTGAAAATTTCGACTTACTCCTCCTTTGGCTTGGCTCTGCCACATATGATGAATCATTTTTAAATCGTTTCCAAATTAAATTTACAAAAAAAAAAAAAAAAAAATTAAATTAAAAAAAAAAAAAAAAAAAAAAATTAGTCATACAAACAATAAATTCTGTTCTTAATCAATATAACTTTTGAAGGATACACCTGTGATGCCAACATGGTCTCCTGGTTGACATTTGCGTGTCGTCTCTCCACGCACATGAATAGTCACGCTTCTTGGAATGTTGCCAACAGGAACCTCGTCACTGTTTTCTTGCACCTTGATTTCTTGAAATTTGACGAACTTGGAACCACGTGTTTGAAGATAGAGTCGGCCTCCAGATCTAAGAAACGGAAGTATACCATAATAAATATTGGTATATTATCCCTAATATCCTGCTCACCAATATGTGATATTTGAAAAACAGAAATTTGTGAAACATACAATTTACATTTAAGTTATTATACCACCCAGGAAATTATCTACTTGTTCCAATACAAAGAAGTTGGACCTTCCAAACAAAACAAAAAAACTCAGGACTAACAAGTACAGATATAGTTTTATTATGTCTATTTTCATAGTGACACATTGGTGGAACCTAGTATACACATGTAGTATTGTAGAAAATATACAAGAAAATATAACAAAATTCAGTAGAATTGCTTAAGCAACTTAAAACTGTTAGCATGTGACAAGTAACACGATTAGCTTATTTTAGAAATATAATATGTGGTGAACTTACTTGTTAGTTGTACAATCCTGACTTGGGCACATAAGAAGTGGCATAAATGTTGGTGAATTTATCTGCAAAAAAAATGAAAACATCATTGGAACAAGAATCGAACCAGGCCCATACACAATTCAGCACAATGACACTGCAAGTTATGGGATATTCACCTACAACAATTATGGCAAATATAAACACATTATTACATGCCCACCCAGTTGTTATAATCATTCGAAATATCAGTAAGTATTTGTATATTTTAGCTTTGCCTTAAAAAAAAACCAGGGGCCAGCCACAACTGGCTTACAAGGGATTAGGCTGGGCACTAACTGCCACTAACAAATCCATTTTTATTAGTGACAATAAGTCATTAAAAACACCTCATCGCATTCCCCATGATGGCATAGTGTGTCCTCAGTTTTAAACTAAGTTCACCATATGAAAAAAAAAACAGTAACACAGGAAGCAAAAAAAATTAATATTATTGTCTTGAAAGCTTAAAAGTAAAACGCACCAGTTGATAGGTCTCGGCACCACACTGATCACAGGTATACGTGGCAACAGTCATCCTCGGTTTTACTTCGGTTGTGCGCGTGACAATACCACGTACTGCCACCAGCTTTCCAATCTTCTCTGCTTTCACATCACGTATTGTCATTGGTTTCTGCAAAGCTGGTGCCTTGAAGTAGACCTCACTGTAGAACGAGAATAACATTTTGATTTGAAAATACCTTAACATTACATGGCGGCAATATCACTGCCACTATGGTTTTGTCTGAAGAAATGTGTTTGTTAAAAAAAAAATTGTATACTTACAATCTACGCATCAGTTCAGGTGGGAACTGATTATTAGTAGGTCTCTGTTCTGTTGGATTCTGACCACGAATGCGTTGTTCCATTAAAAGACGATGTTCGATATAAACATCTAAGGAGTCTTTGACCACAGCCTATAAAAAATGAATTGTATTTATTGTGTATAACTGATTTGAAATTTTTCTTTAATGCAATTTATGCTATTCTCAATTGGATTTTAGTAACTTATTAACATTTTTTATAAGTGACTTTCCTTTATTTTTTTTGAAATAATAGCATGACTATATTTAGTAGGATTATTTGTTCTAATAGTTTCTGTGACAAATACATGTGATATGCCCATATTTGGGCACACAAATTAGATAAAATTTTACAAGCTTCTAAAAATAAAATGTCACCACATCATGCAAAGCCTTTTTTACATTTCACATTAACAATTATAATCTTACTGAATATTCATAACACATTCTTCATCAGGGGTACAGGTAGGCGTAAAAAAATTGGTTGGAGGGACAAAGTGAATATTCGATTTAACACAGAGGGTCGCACCTAAATTTTGATGTTTCCAGTGAGTTTCCAAAAACCTCCAAGCACTGCTTTTAAGCCACTTTTTTTATTGTTACTTTTTACATATGATCAGTGTAGGACATTAAAAACACAAGGTCTTTTCTAGCCAATGTTGCTTGGCTAGAAAAGCAACATAGGGTTTTTAAATCATTTTCACGAGCCCCACAAAAATCACTGTTGGGTCGCACTTGGCCTACCTGAGTTCTACGTGATCTGTACAATAATTATTGCCATCCACGTGTTTATAGTAAGCAATTTTTAATAATATACTGTAGGCCCCTACAGTGATATTTCTTGTTCCTCAATGATTAATGAATAAGATCTGGGAAAACTGCTAAAAAAAAACTGTAACTATGCTTACATCTTTGTCTTTGTAGTCTGGCAACATTTCCTGAATGGCATCTGCAAATATTTTTACATAGCGACATGTGTTGTCCGCTATCGCTTCGGCAAGATCACCATCATGCTCAGCAACATCGTCCAGTTCAATTGTCATGGCAACCTCCTCTCGATGAGCAATTTTAGTCTGATGATTTCAGAAAATAAAAGCAACTAAAACAATAAAGTTCATGAATGGCTTGGTGAAAGTTTATAGGAATTGGTATCTTCTCACAAGAAGGTTACAAACTCCACCAATCAGCACCTCAGATTTGCTTAAAGTAGTCAGAATAAACATTTATATTAATATGCATGTTTAATTCTTTAGTTTTGTAAATTCATTTAGGTAAGACTTAGGCCAGAATAATAGAAATCAAAAGAGTGAACACTGATAGGTTAAAAGAGCTGGAAGAAAACATACCAGTGTGTTGGCATATTTGAATACTTTCCCACCACTCTTGCCAGCATCTGTGTAAAACTCTGCCAAAAATGTTCTTGCCGTTTCTGAAAAAAAATTATCATCAGTGTCTATCAGCTGATCCTATTGAAAAAGATGAAAATAACTAAATATCAATGAATTAAACATCTGTTAGAATTAGTAGGCTAGGGCCTACCTCAATTCAAAGGATCTTTAACTTTATTCATGCATGGTGTCAGTAAACGTAAAATACATAACATACAAAACAATACAAGTACAGCAGTATTCAGCAGTAGTCTTAACTCTTATCCTTGACCTTGGCATGTTGCCTTGGTCTTTCTAACAAAAGAGAGTCTAGAATAATGGTGGCCCTTTACACTCGGTCTGGCCTGCCTGGGCCTAGTCTTGCCAGTCAAGTCTAGGCCTAAGCCTACTATAATAGGTAGACCTAGGCTAGAGAAGAATGCCTTTTCTATCTAGATCTAGGCCTAGCCCCTAGCTAGCTAGCTAGCTTGGCGCCTAGGCCCCTCGCCTTGCCTAGCCTAGGCGAACACCGCCTAGATAGGCCCCTAGGCCTAAGTACGCTAGGCCTAGGCGTAAGCCCCTGGCCTAGGCCTATATAACTCAGTTTAACTGAGAGAAATTAATGATGTCAGTATAAATATACGAACCTTTATCATCAGCGTAATTTCGTGGTGCCATTGTCTACTAAATAAGTGCCACTGTTAACACGCCAATCTATGCCTATTATTTGATATTTTCTCGATCACAAAAATGCTAGAAATGAACAGTCACCACACTCCGTAAAGAGCTGTTTTTGTGTGTACAAACATTGGCGCGAATTCTGTCACGTGATGCGACATCAATCCACACCGCCGCGTCGTCGTGCCTTTTAAATATTATAGGGGGCGCAATGATACTTAGGCTAGTTGAATTATTTTGTAAAAATTGAAATGATGTACAATAAAAATCAGTATTATGCTACATAACATTTTTCATGTTGAAATGGGGTAGCCAGCTATTTCAAAATGGCCACCAAAAAAAAAAATTATAGCAGTACATAAAATATGTTAATACAGTATATTAAATATTTTTTCATATCAATGCAGTTTTATCTTTGACGTTTTTGGAATTAATTATTTTTAATGTTGATTTGGAACTGTGTGGTGTACGTTTCATTAAATAAGAACGGAACCTAGAACACCCCAAATTTCTATGTCCCAAAGGTGATCTCGAATTGGAGGGCCACGTCCCGACCTGTAGGCCTATATATGTGTTTTCCATTAATTAAAATCTCTGTAAGATAGCATATAGGCCCTACATACTCCAAGTATCAAAAGGGGTGGCACCAGCGGGGGTAAGGGCAGCTCCCCTCCCACCCCGTCGGGGAGAGCTGTATTTTTTACATATTAGTAGACTCTAAAATCTGTCTCTTATACACATCTAGATGTGTATAAGAGACAGTTCTTTGGTTGACAGACATTTTGAAACAGCAATGGGTGTTTGTTCTACATCAGGGGTACAGGTAGGCGTAACAAAATTGGTTGGAGAAAATTAGAATTTTGAAGAACATAAAGTCATTAAAACACAATTCAAAGTCGAAAAAGCTCATTTCCCGCCATCTAGGAATCAAAATTTTCCAGGTGGGGGGCCCCCCGACCCCCCTTTCTTTTTGGGATTTATCGATTCATGGAAAAAAATTCGTATGCAAACACTCATTTTTTTTTGTGTATACACACATAAAATAAAAAATGAGAAAAATTTACCTGACCGTTTTCAAGAGGGGAAAACCTTGAATTTTGAAGAAATTAAAAAGTCATTTATAAATGACATTTCAGAAGTCAGGAAAGCTAATTTCCCGCAATCTAGAAATCGAAATTTTCCCGGAGGAACCCGAACCCCCCCTTTTCTTTGGTGTGCATTGATTCATTGAATCATTTTCAAGAGGGGCAAAATCTTGAATTTTGAAGAAATTAAAAGTAATTAAAAGACACCTCAGAAGTCGGGAAAACTAATTTCCGCCTTCTAGGAATCAAACATTTTTCGGGGGAGAACCCGCGGACCCCCCCCCCCCTTTCTTGTTGGGGTTTATCGATTCATGGAAAAAAAATTCGTATGGAACTACTCATATTTTTTTTATTTTTATGTATGTACACACGTAGGCCTAAGGCCTATCTACTGTAATAACAATGGGAAAAATTTACCTAAACGTTTTCAAGAGGGGAACCTTGAATTTTGAAGAACTTAAATTGAAGTCGCTAAAAGATACTTCAGAAGTCGGGAAAGCTTATTTCTCACCATTTAAAAATCAACATTTTCCCGGGGAGGACCTGAACCTCTCTTTTCTCTTTGGGTTCATTGATTCATTATCATAATTTTCAAGAGGGGAGAACCTTGAATTTTGAAGAACTTAAAGTATTAAAAGACACCTCAAAAGTCGGGAAAACTAATTTCCGCCTTCTAGGAATCAAAATTTTCCCGGGGGAGAACCCCCAGACCACCTTTCTTTTTGGGATTTACGGTATCGATTCATGGGAAAAAATCGTATGCAACTACTCATTTTTTTTTTTTTTTTTATGTATGTATACACTCATAAGGCCTATTTACCGTAAAAGCAATGGGAAAAATTACCTGACCGTTTTCAAGAGGGGAAAACCTTGAATTTTGAAGAACTTAAAAGTAATTAAGACACCTCAGAAGTTGGAAAAGCTCATTTCCCGCCATCTAGGAATCAAAATTTTCACAGGGGGGAGGGGGAACCCCCGGACCCCCCTTTTCTTTGGACCTTATCGATTCATTGAAAAAAGAATACGTAGGCCTATATACGCAACTACTCATTTTTTTAAATGTATGTTTACACACATATATGGCCTATTTACTGTAACAAGAATGAGAAAGTTTACCTGATTGTTTTCAAGAGGGGGAAAACCTTGAATTTTGAAGAATAAAGTCATTAGACACCTAGCTCAAAAGTCGAGAAAAGTCATTTCCCGCCATCTAGAAATCAAAATTTCCCCGGGGGAGGACGCCGGACCCCATAGATTTGATTCCAGATCTGCATGATTCATATTCCCATTCATCTTATAAGTGGGACCCCCCCCCCCTTTGAAAAACGTTCCGCCGGCCCTGAATATTTACCAACCGTCTCGCATATTGTGGGACGGTCCCGCATTTCAAAGTGATTTTGGATGAAACACGCATTTTGCAGAAACACATGCGTGATTATAAATTTGTCCCGCATTTAGCACAAGTCTATGCGTGATAACGAATTATCAGGAATTCAGGGGAAAATGCATTTAAAAACAGAAGAAATTGGTTTTATTAAAAATATAAAAACGGTTATGCAGTAGCTTGAGTCATTAGAGAGCTTTTGTTTATCTCTTTTGAGAATCAATTCACCAAGAAAATTTCTCTTCTCCTATCAATAAAGCCAAGCCAGGGGTGGCGCCAGCGGGGGAGGGGAGGGGGAAATTTAACCTAATTTGGGCCAGGCTATAAACAGTGGTCCGGGGAAGGGAGGGGGGTGAAAAAGGCGCTTACACCCCTTTTTTTTACACCTCCCGTTTTTAAAAGAATAAAAAATCTGTATCTTATTACCGTTTCCGAGTTTTTAGTAAAATATTACATCCGGGTTACATCCTTTGCCAGTGTCTCATAATACGGTGATAAATACAAGCCAAACCAGCCACTCGTTCGCAAATCCTCAGATTCAGAGATAAGAAAATTTGTTGAATCTATTTCACTAAATCAAATAACCTTTATATTTGCATACCATGCTATGCTGTTATTTTCCCCATTTTCAACGTTAAAACAACAATTTCTAACGATTTGGTAATGGTTTCTGCCTCAGAAATTCCCAAATTCATGAACTTTTAAGACTGATTTCTCAAATATTGTTCTTTCATAAGCATGTATGTTTAAACTTCTGTAATTTCATAACGAAATGTCTGATTTAAATAAATCTTTTTCCATTTTATAGCTCTCATTTTACTTTTAATTCTGCATTAATAACTAAAAAATTATCAAATTTTTTTCGACGAGTAACTGGTTTGGCTTGGCTTTGCCACATTTGAAAATGTGTAGACCTATCTAGGCCTATTAATGAATTATATATTATTGTTGATGAATAAATTAAAAGATGTTGACTGGTTTGTGTATAATAAGCATTTTATAACACTAAAAAATCCAAATGCATTCAGAAATTATGAAATTGCTTTTATTGAGAGAATTATAGAAAATTATTATAGAAAATTTGAGGTGATCAGTCACCATAATTACATGTCAAAGAAAATATCAAAATCATTTGGTATTAGTTATTGACTGAAGTTGTTTTCATGTATTAACTATAGGTTCGCCCACATTTCGAACCCCTTCTGAATCTTTATTTAAACAGCTTATATCCTAAATTTATTTGATCTTAACAACGTTCAAATATAGTGACATATATGTTTCAATATTATAAAAATCAACTCCCCTTTTCAATTTTTCCAATGTTTACTGATTATGATCAGATAGACCTCATGTTTATAATTTAAGGAGATTTCACTTGTTTTGAATTCCTCAAGAACTAGCAATATTCAAAGCCATGTTCCAAGCAACCAGCTGCATTCATCCAAATTTATTTGTGGCCTATATATGTGGTTAAGGTAACTGCATATCAAATACACAAGTATTTGAATTCTGGTTGGGCCAATTTCAATCACAGTTTACATGTGTGTTTCGAAACACAGTACTGTATCGGTACTTTTCAGATACGTAAAGT